CTCATACCCGTAACAGCACACTAAACCAAATCGGTCAAAATCAAATCCTTCCTACACCTAACATCTCTCTTATCTCCACGTTTCACCCTTCTCACATCCTTTTAACACCTTGCACCATTAATGCAAACGACTCGAGTTCACGAAACGTTAACCCTGGTGTCCTGAAACCCCGCTTCTAATATACCTACAGTGTGTCGAACAGGACAATAGGCTTCCCTAGGTTTGACTTCAGAATCTCGCGCTATCGATGTATGCGGCGTCTCCGAAACGCGCATACAGGATCCGAGTAGTGTCATTCATTTTACATCATGATGTCAGAAGAAAGAACCAGCTAGATTTACTCTTCGTGTATCTGGAAGCCCTGCTGCTGCTTCCCGGGGCCTCGCTGGTGTAGGTGTAGCATTAATTCCCACACTGGATCCTAGTTGGTAGTTGCTTATGCGCTGTCCGACTTAACGGGACAGTAAGGACTCTGAAAGATAAGTACACTCGCCGTTGCCTGTTTGTTGTCTCTGCCTGTGCTCCCACTGACTGTAGTTCAAATGAGGTAGAAGGTCAGTTACAGAAAGCTTTCAGAACTACTCCAAAATGTTACGCGTTCTGATATAGTAATAGCAGCTGGTGACTTTCATGCTTAAGTAGGTAGACTAAGTGAAAAGGAAAGACACCTGGGTGGATTATATGTTGTCGCAGCTGACCGAACAGATAATGGCGACCGCTGGCTGCAGCTATGCTCGAATATGTGCCTATTTCTAGCAAACACTAACTTTACGCTTACGGAAAAGCATCTCTTGACATGGCAAACTCCAAAGTCGTCACAACGCTGGACCAAACTAGATAGTTTGAGACCTTGAACGACTGGGCTCAAAAACGTTTGCAATGGCTCAGGTGCATCCACTCTTTGTGTTCTCCCGAATTCTAACCGTTTAACGTGAATTACTCATCACCTCTATCTTTCTCTTTCTAAAGTTATCTCACTGACCTATACCTCTTGTATAATATATTCGAACCCTAATCTTCATAACCGCTAATAGTTATACTATCTGTACCACTATGGGATTTGAAGTGACAATTGCGTCTCTGTGTTATATGGTATGGCAACCTGAAATAATGTACCTTCGTACGAAGTTCTACGTTTTATCTGACTGACTAAGATTCGACTTTTCTATGGATATATCAAAGTAAGTATAAATAAAACTGTTGAAACCACAGTTAATCATACGGTTCCTCATATTATAACCCCGCGAAACCTTTGAGTCTTTGGGCTCCGGGGAGAGTATGGTTGCAAAGCTGAAAATTGAAGGAATTGGCTTCCGTTAGGAAACGAGTTCTAGTTGGGGATGGCAAATCAATAGATGAAGTAGTAAAACTTCAGTTGAGGTGGTTGGGACATGTGCTACGTATGCCTAACCACCGACTGCCGCGACGAGTTGTGTATTGCAGTGTAGGAGTAGGTTGGAAGTATGTAGGGGCAGCCAAAACATGACAGAAATCCATGAAGTCACTGATAAGTGAACTGAGTCATGTTGATAGATGTAGGCTACCTGGTTGGGGTCCGCGAGACGAAGCTCATCAATAGTTAGAGACTTCGAGTGGCAATGACTTATATGCATCTACCCTTTGTGTTCTCTCTAATTCTGACCTGAATTCCTCGTAATCTTCATCTTTCTCCTAAATTTAACTTACTGAATGATACTTCTCGAGTAATATTTTCGCCCTCTAATCTTCTCCATTACTGCTAATACTTTGACTATCGCTATCTCGGATTTGAACTGACAGTTGCGTCTCAGCGCTGATTTAGTATGGCAACCTGAACTGATGTACTTACGTACGAAGTCCTGCGTTGTATCTGTCTGTCATACTAAAACGTTTGTTTACTTACGGTTTCAGACAAAGCATTGACAGGATTGTGAAAATACCGAGCAGACCAGACCATGGGGGTACGGCTGGTAGAAAAGTCACAGTTACGGCAAATTGCTGGGACTTTCAATTCCTGCCTAAGACAGTTTACATGTACTTCCTGGAGGCTAGTACTGTTTATCGAGTCAATGCAAATGACGGCACTAAAACTGAAATACGAATGCCATCAAAAGAAAAGCAAGCATTAATTCAGCAAGTTGTTGATTCGTAAGTGTTCACTATGACAGTGTGCTTTCGTGATGTTTTTTCATGATTGTTTACCATCTCACATTTGTCCTAGTTAACAGTTAGCTTCAATTTCCTGTAAAACAGTCCTAAGAATCTGGAACTTGATATCCGCGTAACAGATGCACATAACTGAATTTCACATTTCCTTGGGATATAAGATTGCAACAGTTATTAAACGTGCCACAATTCACTATAAATTACTCTAAACCACAGTTTTGTGTCTAATTGTGTATACAACATTATGGCTTGATGTAAATAAATCTCGGGGTTTCCTACCAAAAATGCCAAGTCATCCATTATCGAAACATCCTCCATAAATTTGCAATACACTTCCGTTCGGATGTCATTATTAGTCATGCTTTTTCAGCTTTACAGATCCCATAATCTACGACGGTGGGCATGCAGTATACTCTGAATCACCCTTACCAGGAATAAATACAGACGCTGTAGAAAAAGAGATAAATATAAAAGATCCACTTGGTCGAGATCAGTTGCTGTTGAGTTATCGAATTATGGAGGTCCAAAAAGTATCCACTGCGGATATAAACCATTTTGTTACAAGTCCGGAAGCCACATCTCTAAACATGCCGCAAGTAATGCCTATATTTTCTAAAAGTACTTTCTAGGAGTCAATCAGGTTGTTGGATTGTATGTTAAAGACAGTCTCAAAGCAGTCATTTGTTTCCCTCAGACGATCTGCTTTGTTTCATTATGAGCTAGTTAGAGTGGTCACAGATAAACTATTCACCATACATAGAGGTTTTATCACTAGTGTTAGACCACAATGGAAGGTTCGTATCAATCTGAACATGGTAATTCCTGAGATTCTAACCTAATTGACTTTTGAAGACATGCAAGGCATTCTTCACAGCTGGCAATCTAGCCGACGTCATGTATGAAAAGTACGGAGATAATATGGCTAGATGCAGTACCCAAATGGCTTATGATTTAAGAAGAATACGTGTCGAAACGGATAAGTTTTATAAAAGTGACAAAGGTATGTAGCTCTTTTGTTTACTCTCATAACACCGTTCTAGGCAATGCATATTCCAGACGGTTCACCGTGCATGGAATATCATCTCTGCCGGCTAACCAGCTTATAATTGAGGAGCGGAAACAGTCTGTTGCCGCATACTTCTATGAACACCACCAAATAAAGTTGAAATATCCTGATCTCCCATGTGTAAAGGTAATGTGGATTTATTGTTGTATTCCCCAGGTCGATCTTAAACGTGAAGTGTATATGCCGATGGAATTATTAAATATTCTTCCATTTCAAGCACCTAATGCAACGAAAGCTGATGTAGCCAGCGAAGTAATTCGTTGTGCGGCAGTTAGGCCACAAGAACGTTTTCAAGAACTACAGAACTTTTCGAGCAGCATGTTAAAGTAAGAATTCAAACTTCAATCACCTGTAAGCAATTTATATTGTTCAAAATTTATAAAAAGGTAATCGGTGTCGAGTCTTCAAATAAACATGTACTATTTTACTTCCAAATGTCATCCCTCCATTTCTGAAATATCTGAGTATTCGGCTTTTGTTCTAGGTCACATCCTTTGATAAAGCAATTCGGTTTAACGGTGCAATCAAGACCTATAGATGTAAGCGCCAGAGTTATTCAACCTCCGAGTGCAGCTTTCGGTCGCTCCGGTGTTGTCTCGCTCAAGCCAGGAAATTGGACGTCACCTGGTTTTCATGATCCTGCTGGTCGAGGAGCTGAGTTACTTTGGGCGATACTTTGCGTCCCACCGGATAGGGTACGTTGGTTAATTCGTTTTTCTTCAGATCGCTAGCTATATAAAATAAATAAACCTGTTGCTAATATATAATCGGTACTTTCAGAACTCGCTTTTGGAAAAAATGGCTCACAACTACTATATCTCATGTTTTGTATTCAGAGATCTCAAGCACATGTGCAGAAAGTTATGCGCGAATTGCCACGAGCAGCAGATCGAGTTGGAATTCGTCTTAGCCCCCAACCACATTTGTCACATTGTCCTATTGGTGAACTCAACAGAAGATTTGAGGAGTTTTCTCGACGTGGATGTGCATTCTTACTACTTATTCTCTATGATGAACATGCCTATCCTGCTATTAAACGACTAAGTGACCTGCAGATGGGCATTCGCACACAGTGTGTGCGTGGTCGTACCCTTGATAAACCGAATGTTTTTCGTAAGTAAATATTCGTTATTTCATGAGTGAATTCTAGCAAACCTTTTGTTAAAACTCAATGGAAAACTTGGTGGTGTTAATTGGCAGATTCCAGATCTTATTAGAAACAGCGATGAACTCCTAATGGTCTTTGGAGCAGACGTTACTCATCCAGCTCCTACTCAAACTCAACAAGTCCGAAAGTCAGTTGCAGCGGTTATTGGTAGCATTTCGCCGGATCTTATGCGATACGGAGTCGTAGTTCGTCAGCAAGCGACAAGTGGAAAAGGTAATAAGACTGCAAGAGAAATCATTGACGACATGCGCCTGATTGTCAAGGAACTGTTATTGGTAAGTACTTAGTCTTATTTCTTGAATTTCTGCCGACAACCGCTTTCCCATTACAGCTTTATTTGCGGAATACTAATGGTCGCTTCCCTACCCGTATGATATTTTATCGCGATGGAGTTTCAGAGGGACAGTTCGAAAATGTTCTAGTTGAAGAGCTGGCTGCTATCCAGAGAGCATGCTCAGACGTACGTTCTGGAGAAGAGCCAGCTATAACTTATATTGTCGTGCAGAAACGTCATCATATTCGCTTCAAGCCTTCTGATCCCAGGTAGTATATTTGTGTTTACTCTTTATTTATGCATACCCTTTCTTACCTTTCTACAATGACACTTTATTGTCTGTATAGAGCGCGAAATGTGGAACCGGGAACAGTCGTCGATACGGAAATAACTCATCCAAGAGAATTCGACTTTTATCTGTGCTCTCAGGACGGCATTCAGGTTAGTTCTGTTGCTTAGCTTATCTTCATTTAATACAGGGGACCTCCAAACCTGCACACTACCATGTGCTATACGATGATAGTAACTGGACATCTGACGCTTTACAAATGTTCACTTATTATCTGTGCTACGCTTATATGAGATGTTCTCGTAGCGTATCGTATCCAGCACCAACCTATTATTCCCATTTAGCTGCTTTTCGTGCACGAGATTGGTTGTCAGGATTAGACCAACCATCTGTTTTGTTGGATGGTGGTGGTCGTTTCAAAATTCATGCATCACAGATTGATGGAATGTTTTATCTATAGAATGGTATATCTAGAAAGTTTCTTGATAACATGTAAATAAATTGTGTGCTTTTTTTAAATAGCCTTTTTCACTAGTCATTTCCGGGCTGGGTATAGTCGCATTTCGAACGCCCTTGAATTGTTGCTTGGACTGGTTAGAAGACTCTTCATTTTGTCAGCGACTTCACCAAATAGAACTGTGTCATCATGAGCGATGTCTTATGGTACAGGAATAGCTTCGCGGAAAGCTAGGGGCCCAGAACCAAAACATGGCAGGAATCGAAGAAGTCACTGACAAACAGACTGAAACATGTTGATAGGTGTTGGCTACCTGGTTGGGGTCCGTGGGACGGAAGTAACCGATAGTTGGAGACCTTGAATGACACTGCTGAAAATCGTTTGCAGTGTCGAGGGTACGTCCACTAGTTTCCCACGAATTTCCATGCAGTTGGATGGTATTTAGTCCAGTTCCCAGCCATCCGTCTGATCTCTCCATCGGTGAATGATAGCGATGTGACCTAGTGAGGTCCAGTGTTGTGACGACACTGGAGGTCGCCATGTCAAACGATGATCCACCTTGTGCTTAAAGTTAGTGTTTGCTAGAAATAGGCACTTATCCGAGCATAGTTATGGCTGCTGCCTGCGGTATCCATTGTTTTTGAAGTGTTTAGTCCATGTTTTTCCCTCAGTCTCAATTATTCTCTTACCCCTGATAATAATATTAACTGTAGCAGTCAGAATAATCTCC